GAGCTAGTCTATGGAGCTGATTCAATCAATAATATATCAATTGACTGTTAGCCAGTCTGAAGCCACCATTTTACCACCACTGGGTTTGACTTGGTGGCTTTAACTCTAGGATTTTCGCACCGGAACCGGATGAAGGGGGATTTTTAAGTATCCCGGACGTCTGGGATCGGTTAGTTATCAGAGAAAACAAGCTGAGGACTAGACGTAAGCAGCAAGCTCCGGCTCGCCAGCACCCTCCGGGACGTCCTTTTGTCTGTCCGCACACACGGGGAGATAGCAGTGATGTTGCTTAACGGCGTGGAAACTGCTTTATTCAGTGGTTAGTGGTTTAATCAGCGGGGGTCGGGTTTGGGTTGAACGAGGGGAGGAGACCGGAAATTGTCCGGTACAAACCCCTGAACCAGGACACGGGAAGAATCCAACCGGGGGGGAGAAGCTGACGGGCCAGACGCCAATGGTGGATGAACGACAACAATCCCCCATTCGATCCCTGCTCTCCAAAAAACCGGGGTCATCAGCTGGTATTTAATATTACAGGAGAGTCCCCGCCCTTCCAGGTAGGGGGGAAGGTTAAAGAGAAGATGGGTGGTTTGATATCCCTCTCACCCCAAAAGCACAGGGTTCAGTTTCATCGGGGGAGAGTGACAAACGTCCTCTCGATTCCTTTATATGTCTGGTGCATGTGAAGTAATTCACAATAAAGCTGACTTTGACTTTGATACTCATCCTCCCTGTCAGGCATCACCATCCTCCTCTTCCTCCTCTTCCTCCTCTCCGTCATCCATCAACAAAATGGCTGTCGGAAAGGTCTCCTCTGCGCATGCTCAGCGCACCTCTGCCAGGGAGGGCAGGGCAGGTATCTCTCCGCAGCCGCTCACTGACACACACTCCCGGCTCGGCTTACTGACACACACTCCCGGCTCTCAGTCCAGCATGAGGCGGCAGGAGGCGCGAGGAGACACCGACTGATCAGAGCCCCGCAGCCCCGCCGCTCTCTGCCCGAACCCGGACCCCGTCTGGAGGCTCCGCGCTGAGCTCCGACCGGACACTTTGACAGGAGTTTACCGGCTGCAGGAGAACCGACAGCGGCCACAGAGAGACACCGCCCCGGGAACAGGTGAGAGGGAACTGCAGCCGCTTCCAGGTGCGACGATCCGGATTTGCGCGCGGCTTTTACGCACAGGAGGACTCTTGGGGAGAGTTATGGGTCTCCGGGGGAAGCTGGGAATCTGAGCTCCCCGAGTCCGAGGAACTGGACTAACTGGACGCCGATTTGTTCAAATCTTCCCCATCTTCCTCCCGCGCTGCCCCCCAGGTGCTCACAATGTTCCAGCACAGCAATAACAAGAAATGCTTCACCATCGAGTCTCTGGTCGGGAAGGAGGCGATCAGCCACAGCGGCGGCTCCGGGGATGAGCCCATCCGGCCCACGGCGCTCCGGTTCCCGGAGTCCCTGCACCCCGCCGCCGGGGTCTTCGGCTCCTGCTTCCAGGGGGGCAGCGGGAGGACTTTGTACTCGGCGGGGCCGGACTTGGTGCTCCAGGAGCCCGGGCCGCACAGCCAGAGCCCCGGCGGGCTGCCGCTGCACCCGCTGCAGATCCCCCCGCAGAGCTTCTTCAGCCCGCAGCACCGGGACGCGCTCAGCTTCTACCCCTGGGTGCTCCGGAGCCGGTACCTGGGACACCGCTTCCAAGGTGAGCCGGGAGGACCAGGTCGGGGTCCGGGTCTTATTCTGGGATGTTTATTAGTTTTTATGCGTTCTGGGTTTGGTGCTTTGATTCCAGTTTTATGGACATTAAACAGTTTTATTGATCAGCAGTGATCAGAAATCATCTTTATTCTTAAAGTAGCTTCAATCTTTCTAATATTTGTTAGATATTTATATATAGATTTAGATTTATACATTCTTATGACCATAAATCCAGTTTTCATTTCATCAGTTTGACTCTGAGTTGCACTAAAATAACAGAAATCAGAAATAATCTTTATTATTATTTCAGAAATATATTGATTTTATTTTCTTTAATGTTTTTATAATTATTAATTATAATTGACAGAAGTCTTTAACTTTATTATTATTGATATTGATCAGGCCTGTTAATGTCAGTGCAGCAGCAGAATGAGAGCAGTTAAACTGTGTGTTTGATTAGTGAATTATGATTGATAATCGATTATATTATCGCTCAGTTATTGGAGAATCACAGTTTGAGGAGATAAATTAGTTTTCTGAAAGAAAACTAATATTTTACTGTTTTTATCCGGAAAAGCGTGTTTTTCACCTCCAGAGTTCAGTTATAGATCGATATCGAAATACTGTGGATATATTGATCAATCAATCAGCTTTATTAATTAAAACTTTATTTACCGGTTTATTTTATTTGTTGGACCCCCCCCCCCCACACACACACACACTGATCACATCATGAGTCACTTTAATCAATAAATCATCTTTAATCACTTTAATTAATAATAATAATCTTCTGTAATATTTCTGTAACATTCTAATAATTCAGTGTTTCGTTGTTAAATTCAGTTTCAGCTTTAAAATTGTTTTTATTTATTTTATTTGAACGTTTTTATTATTTTTATTTTTATTTTAGTTTAGTTTCCGGTTAAATTAAATGAAATTAAATCAAAACAATCCGCACTTTGTACAGAGTTTAATGGGAAAGTTATTATGAAACTAATAATCGATATAGTGCTCATTGATCGTTTCCTGTTTTATTGATCATTCACGCGCTCACTCGCGTTTCAATAATTAAACTTTATTTAAACATCATAAACGATCACGTGCTGTTTCTGTGAGCTTCTAATAAAAAAGATCAATACTGAATTTGATTTCCATCCTGAGAGTGAACTTATGATGATTATTGATTATTATTATCAATAAAGACCCACGTGTGATTTTAACTTCAGGGTTTTTTTTTTAAATTATAGAATAAAAAACGATTATTAATAATCTGATGTTTGATTTTTGTTTTGTTGTTGTTTTAATTTGAATGAAGATCCTGATGATCTGACGGGAAAAGACTTCAAATCTAATAAACGTTTTATTTTGAAGGTTCCAATCTCAGTGTTTAATCGATCAGCTGCAGTTTGATTGATTATAAATAAAATATGTTTAGTTTGAGGAATCAGATCAGATTCAAGAAGATAAAATGATAACTCAAAGTTTTATTTTATTTTTCACTTCAGAAAATTATAATTCAATAAAAGAGAAATGATCATAAATGAATCAGAAAGAATTGATAAAGATATTGATTGATCCAGAGTTTCTCAACATGTGTGGGAGCCAGCGGAGGACGTCAGAGAGATAAAATAATCTTTAATAAAATATTAATAAATAAAACAATAAAAACTGTTTTAATGATCCTTAAATTAAATAACAAATATAAAATAATAAAAAGTGATTTTAAACACAAAAATAATAAATTAGAAGATGTTTAAAAGAATATAAAATAAAATATTTAAAAAAAACCAAACAAATAAACTTTTTTTGGCAAATTTATTTAAGAAATAAAAAGATTTTTTTTCCATTGTTTTAAAATATATAAATAATATTGAGTTTGTTCTTTAAATAAAAGAATACAAATATTTAAATTAAATCTTATTATTAAAATTAGTTCAAAGCAGATTTTAAATTAAACAAAAGAATAAAGAGTTGATTTCTTTTAACCCTTTAACACCCAAAATCCCTCTTTAATCAGCATGTGATAAAATAATCTGATTAATCTGTCTGATATTAAATTATATTAAATATATAGAATATATAAAATATATAAAATATTGTGTATCTGTTGTTCATTGAAGCTCTGAGTTAAATTAAGTTCATCCTGATCTTTGGAAACTTTATAATAAAGTTTTCTGACTTTAAAGGCTGTAAAAAATATCTGTTACTGTTTAAAACTGTGAAAGTAAAAGTCTGTAAACTTTAAACAGGTTAAATAAAGTAAAACACCCAGATAATAAAACCTTTATTTATACAGAATAAAGTATTTTTTATATCTAACCTTTACGTATATTTATAGTTAAAATCAACGGCATTAAAATAATTTTACAATAATAATAGAAAAAGTTCTTCTTCATCTATTACAGAGAAATACATTGACACTGAATCACAATCAATCACATTGATTAGTATTTGATTAGAAAATGAAGATATTTGAACTCATTATTTTTTTGTGAAACATAAATATCTATAAAAATAAACATTTTAACGTCTAAAATGTGAAATAATTTTAGTTTTTAACTTGAATCTGAATTAAAAAGTAAAATCAGCGAGTCAGTAAATAAAGTTTCTGATTTCAGTTCAAACTTTATTGACACAAACATGAACTGAGCTGGTTTTAACTCTTCGTTGTTGGTTTCTTTTCAATAATCATTAATTATTAATTAATTATTATTATAACAGAGAATCGTTATGTTTATTAGTTTATTGACCTTTAATCGATATCATCAGTCGGTCGGAATAAAACATCAGCAGAATCTAAAATCCACTTTTTAAACAGTTTTTAAACCAAATTATTTAAACTAAAAACTAAAATTATGTATTAATCTGAAAATGATTTAATTAACTGATTAATAGATGAGAAATAGCTTAAAGATCTAGATAATAATTCAGTTTAAAAACGTTTTAAGATTCTTTTGAACGAGCTTCAGTTTTTATTTTTTATTTTTATTTGATGATTTATTTTTATAACAATAAAACAATCTTAATAATTAATTAATAAATAATAGAAATAACAAATTATTCATTATCTCGAACTTTCATCATTTTAAATCGAATAAACAATTTAAAATAAGTTCAAACAGAAAACAACTTTTTCTGAACTCGTACATTTTTCACATTTTGTTAATATTTCACAGCGACGTCATAAAATAAATCAATACTACTATTGATTGTTATTAAAGGTTATTGTTAATGCTGCATCAATATCTGTCTGCTGCAGCTCCTTTACTTCCTGGCTGATTGATCTTAAGTTTGTCAGTCTGTGTCTGTGGACCCAAACGGGCTCCAGTAGAGTCCTGGTTCCCAACCTGAGGGTCGGGACCCCCAGTGGGGGTCGCCAGAGCTTCACGAGGGGTCGCAAGGTTTTCTTAATTTTACACAGTCGAGCTACAACAAAACATTTGACTGATTTCTGTGAATAAAACTAAATGAATCTGTTCTTTTAGATGTAAACTTTAAAAACATGAACACAGTGTATATTATTTTTATTATTATTATTATTATTATTGATTGCAGTGTACAGTGACAGAGCTTCAGTCTCTGATCAACAGCCTTGTCCTGCATCAGAAAGCAATCAG